GGGTGCATCTGCCGTTGAATATAGAGAAGCTTGATAACCTAGGGGTGTACTGGACGCCATCGAAGAGCCAAAATGGTTGTGATGGTGACACGGAAGTCCCCGTATATGAGGACCCTAGAGTGAAGGATCTGGGCTTGAGAGCTATATTGCCTAAGTCTGATATTGGTGATATCAGAAGGTGGGAGTCTGCGGCATTGATTTGATGCTATCAGATGCTGAATCGACAGAAGCTTTGTACAGACGGTTACGTATTGGGTTAGTTGTACCGGAGGGTCCCAATGAGATGGCTCCTGACAAGGTATTGCCGTTGAACTACAACCTGGATCTTACTAATCATATTGCGTTCAACAAGGGATGGTAATAGGAGCTGGAGTAGGAGGAGATGATGCTTTCATAACAGTTACATTGGACAGGAGTTGACCACACGGGCCTCCAAGAAATTAGCTGTGAGGAAACGACTATTTGGTATGCGTATCGATGGAGATGTTGACGTTGAGTCCGGTGCAGAGGTAGGGAAGGTGCATGCAGTAGTTTTCAGTTTTGTTCCTCAGATAATGTGTGACGGTGAGAAGATTGGTAAAGTATTAGAGTTGTCATCATCGGAGGGTGATGGAGACGTGCTGGGTATTGCACAAATACATGCACCGAAAGGAATGCAGATGAATACTAAACAGGCTATGGTCGAAGCTACGAAAAAGTACTTGGAGGACGACCATATATACATAGAGAAGGACTCGACAAAGATAGGAGTAGAACTGGGTCTACCCAAGTACATTCTGTCGTGAGTTTAAAGCGGTGACCATTTTCCCACTAACTGCAATTTTACCATTTATGGTTTCTGTTCGTAATATGCGTGTCTATGGGTTCGGTGTTGTTGCGTTTTTGTTGTTGTCATCGGAGATGCCGTGTTACGTTCGGTGATACAACACAATTCACAGTGATCACATTGACAGTTGAGAAGATCTCGTGAAGATACTTAGTTGCAACGACGCGAATGCGGGGAAAAGCAGTAGCATTGGACTCTTTAAAGACTCCAAGAACACATCCATACGAAGCGAATCTACGAAGATCAACAGTCCCAACCGCCAAGCTATCAGAGCATGACCGGGAGTGCTTCTGCGTGGTGGTCTAAGTATATGGAGGCCTACGTATGAAAATCACCATTGTATGATCTGAGTCGCTATTCAGTCGAAATTCGACTTTGTTGAGTGAAGAGATATAACATGAATAAATGACTGGCGCCACTCAGCCGTCGAGATATTCTCAACTCAGCTTCTGTGACTAGAAACGATCATGCAGTGGGGATATCATGCGAACACTGGGCGGTTCGTCCCGAACGTAAATCCTCGGCCCTTTTCCTGTTCTTGATCGTGGCTTGTTGATACCGGGAACTTCTCTGCATGGCCTTTATAACATCGAAATGTTATGTATCATAACAATCTAAAATGCGAGCTCACTTTGCTTCGGAATCTCTCGAATGATGCCCTCTCATCCACTTCGGAATCTGCCCAGAGGGACATAACAGGGAGGGGAATCCACGATGTATCAGGAATCAGGTCTACTCACTTTTGAGCTCATCCGACCTGCTCATGCGTTCCATACGGAGTCTCGCGGCTGCAGCTGCCTGGGTAGCAACGTCCCAACGCGGTTCGGCATCATCAGTCGTCCCTAAAGTGCAGCGATAGGACGGATGACATGTGAAAGCCACACCGGACTCTTCGGGTCCGACGACCACAGTCCTTCCATCGGACCACTCCTTCACCCCACTGAACATGTTCCTGGCCAGTTTCGATGACGCTGTACGATCCCGTCCCCGCATCGACTAGGGAAAGAGATAGATAGCACCACCAGGCAGATGCAATACGAAACGCCGACGCTTGAGCTCTGCAGCCCAGAGTTTATTGCTGTCATCGAGTGACACTCCGGGGAGCGCTCACGAATTTGTCCTGTCTAACGGCTCTGACTATGACAGGGATATGAAGTTTGACGCCACAGATTCCGGTCGGGTCATCCTCTATAGGTATTGAACCGCGTTATCTTACTGCTGCCTCCTGGAGCAACCTCTCAGCCAATACGCTTTTACTGTCCACTTCAAGCATTCCTTTGGCATCGCATTCTAATTCATCCCATTCGCGGAGCTCCTTATGACAGAGGCCCATCCGATATCTGATATCGCGCATAATAGGTGGTGCAGTGCGGTGATAGGAACGGTCGGATCCTAACACTCACAGAGTTTTCAGCATGATCTCAGGCTCGTCCTCGCCACTTAGTAAGATGCATTTAAGCGCTCGCAGAGCTTCCCGAGGCTCATGGCACTTCAAATGTGCCATGCCGAGGTTGAGATATAATGAACGCTCGAGCTCCCAGTCAAGTGAAGCCATTGCTCCAGCGGCCTCATCATCCTACGCATTTGAGTGAGAGTCAACACTTCTGAAGACTCCTACAGCATCAGCGATATCGCTGAGCATCTCGACGGCTTCTCGCCAATAACGGGCTGCTGCTTGGTAGTTGCCGTCCTTGTACTCGGCAAGTCCCTCTTCTTTCAGGGATTTAATATCTTCCATGATGGATGAGAATCAGCGAAGTAATTCCAAACCTTGAGCGCAACTGTTATGTATTCATCTTAATGTTGAGACTCCTAAGGTATCCGATCAGCCGCCATCGTTATTGAAATTTATTACAAACATGACGTTGTGAAAGCTATATAATAGCTATCGTGACAGTACAACATTTGACCTCGTCGAAGACATCATGGATCGGGCTTCATATCGCCGCTGTAAACACCCCTCAAGGTGTATTAACATCCCTGTCGCACGAGAAAGC